ACGAATTCGTAAATCAACTTCCGCGACAGATATAAATCAGATAAATCGTAATTTCGTTCCTCGAAAACGTAAACAGTGTGACGCGTTTTATGCTCGTTACGCTGCAAATCGCAATCGCGGCCTTCATATTTCTGATAAGTATTCAAGACGTAGCGTTCTCGTTCCGTTGTATATAAATCTTTACAATATCGGTTAATCTCAATTATCGATTATTCAAGCATCCGTAGCAAAACAGTTTCCGAGGCCAAACTGTTCTTGAAAATATTATAATTCTAAGTGCTGAATAAACAATTGCAATATCGCTTTAATTTTCCAAATATGCAAACAAATAAAAATTAATCTACACTATAATCAACGTAAAAAAAAATATAAGTTCGAGAAAAAGTGACATTAAATAAAAGAAATATTGCTGATGCTGATCTTTTTGCGTAAAAAGGATAATAGCTCTCTAGTAAGAGGTTATCGCTTCACTGCGGACATGTTAAATGACTTCTCCTAACAGTAATTACGACTCTAACTACATAAAAGAGAGTTAAACTCCGGGTGTTATTATGTAATAATGTTATCAGGGTGGCGGACAGGAGAACACGCGTTAGGTCGTGTGGCGCGTGCACGACTCCGTCGTGTGGAATCTGTTGACAGGCCGTGCGAAAGCGACAGCGGGGTATACGCTTCGCGAATTGCACCCCTAGCGCATCCGAGCAATGGAAATGTATCCATTATTCAGGAACGCCAGCAGGGAATCGTGAAGGGAATCGATGTGTGTGACCTAACGTTGCCCGTGCGATCGTTAGGCGCGATAAGTCGACGAGCGTGTACTTTTTTAACGGCGCGAGTAACAATCGAAGATTGCGGCTATTTAATCCTTAGGCCTTTATTTACTAATGCGCGGCGGTGTACACATCGGCGAACGATATGGCGGGTAAGTATATCAACTTATAAACAGTCGCGTCGTAAGCAGCAATCGCGCTTGAATAAGAAATAATCTTCTTAGGCATAAGTTGGGTATGCGAAACATTGTTATATTGAAATTTTAATAATGCACGAAGAGAAAAATAAAAGTGTAGCTTCTAGTTGCTGTAGTATTAATTGCGATATAGTTAAAATTAATGCGATCTTAGTGACAAATGTATAATATAAAAAATAGTGCATAGATTTGCGCAAAGTATAGATTCCAGGGTTTCCAGGGTTAAATGTTCGACGACTGTTTGCGAACGCGCCAGTCGCGATCTTTATTCCTCGAGTCGCTTATCGCTATTTGCACCGCGATTATTCACCTGGCGACAACAAAGGAGCGCCTTGTCATCGGCGGCGAAGATGCGTTCGACGATTCGCGCGAGAGATACGCGATGTAATGTATGTTCGCGACAGAGACTGCATGACGGATTTGCATAAGCACGAGACCGCATCCTCGGATTAACGAAAACGCACGTGACACCGACGAATCTAAGATTGCGCGGCGTCTAAATCTAACCGAGGAAAGGATCTCTGCGTAAAATGGATCAAGGATACTTTCGCATTTCTCAGAATAGCTTAGACCGAAAATTAGATACGTGACGTAAAACTGTGTTGTTCTATTTCGCGAAGAAGTTTTTGAAAATATTAAATTAGCATCGTGATGTTTATTAAAATTGATATAATACTGCTTTCAAAGTGAACATCTATTTTCATATCTGACGTTTTATTATATTATTTTGAATAGCAATTAAAAATTGAAATTTTAAACAAAGCATTATCGCTATAATTATAATTTATGTTATAACTCATTAAAAAGACTAAAATTTACCTTAGCAGACGTTTATATATGGTGTCTAATTATGAAAATGTTAAGAATTAAAAATCGATAAACGTTAAATATTTTATACTTCACGCGAGAATCTGATGCACACGCGAATCTACGATTTATCAATCTGTTTTTGCTAAAGGGTGTCGACGCGACACTCGCTTTTGAGGCTCCAATCAATGTAAATCCTTAGCATTGGCCCGAGCATTAACTAGCTGGCAGACGAGCGCAACGAGCGGAGTCGCGATGTCTCAACTTACGTCATTCGCGAACGAGAAGAGAAGCGGCTCGCGATAAGGAGAACGCAACGCAGCTTTTCATGAAGAAATTAACTCCGCGCTCGCATCACTCCTTGAAGCAGTGTCACAATTAAAAAAGATTCTTTGAAGTTACAATATTTCCTTAAATTTTTTAAAATTAATTTTCGTTTAAATTTTTTTTATAGTTATTTGATGGGCATTAAATAACAAATGCGCAGCATTATCGTCGCTTGGTAGAACGCAGAAAAGTACACAATCTCAAGAAAAAATAAAAAGAGAGATATCCGCAGTTGTGATGGCAATTATCGCCGTCCCCGAGAAGAGAAAGATATTAGGTCGCGAGCTTGAAGCAAATCACGCGTTCATATTTTCCACATATGCTGTAAACCGCATATGCAAATCGTAAAAACAGAATATTTTTTATTTCAAAGGAATACTGTGCATTTTACGCGCAAATATTGTACAATGTACACAGTCAATCGCAAATAAAGGAAATTGATTCATTTTAAAGTTATAAATAGAGATACGTTATTTGTATAATATATATTATGATACAAAGAATTGAAAATTATATGTTAAAAAATTATATGTTAGAAAATTATATGTTAGAAAATTATATATATATATAATATATATTATTATACAAAGAACGACATATGTCGTTCTTTGTATATGATTCTTTTTTGCTTATTATATGGTCAATGATATTATTTTGCATTCTTATGTCCATCAATATTGCATAAATTATTAAGAGTAAGAAATTTTTAACACTCGCTTACGCATTAATGAATTATTCATGATCATAATTATATACATAAATTGACATATGATATATTGTGATAAATTTTTGTTCCGAATTCTCGAATTACAAAACGTCTAAAATAAATGTGTGGAATGCAATATCTTTCGAAAGAGTATCTTTGCATACGCGCTCTTCTTTAAAGATTTCTATATTTAAATCTCGTTTCCGTTTACCTCACTTTTATATCTCACTTGTAACGTGACCCTCGCGCGAAAAAAAAATGGGAAATAAAGCAAGAGCGCAAACAGTGCAATGCGAAATTTGAGGTCAATGCGCCTTGCGTCACAGCGTGATTTTTTCACGGCGATATGCATGCCTCAAAATTGCCGTTCCCCGCCCCGACGTGACCTCTCTCTTTGAAGCATACGCTCACCGTTCGTCTGCAAAACCGCCCACAATTTCGAAATCTCGCCATTTTAAATTCGCGTTTGTTGCGCCACGTCGAGTGCATCCTTATCGCATGTTCCCGGCGTATAAAACGTATAAACAAAATCTTTGACGTAAAGAAGCGCGACGTCTGTTTAATTTTGTGCTCAAACTCAACATCAATAAACAAAATCGTCAAACACGTGCAGTGTTTATAAAATATGCTCGTTGTTTCAAACTGACAATGAGTGATCAATTTAATTTTTTAATAGGTCATTGCATTTTTTGTACCTTTGTCGATTACATCTGTCGATGTCCTAACGCCAGTCATCGTCGTGGAAAACGTGTTTAAAAACCTTGATTCTTGACGATGCGGATTTCGCAGGAGAGGAGAAGCCGTCACTGCGGACGGTTTCTCGGTACAAAAAACCTGTTGCTTCGAGCCGCACGAGTCGTGCGTCTCTCGCGCGCCGTCGCCGCCGCCGGCGTAAAAAGCGGGGCTCGCGGCCAAGTTCGCGAGTCACGAAAGCGCGAGCGGGCGGGTGTGGGCCAGCCCGGCGAAGGTGAATTAATATAGAGCGGTGCGTCGCTCTCGAATTCGCAGAAAGTACGCGTGACGTCGGCGTCGCTTTTACCCGCTCTCATTCGACGTGCGATGCGGGTGCGCCGCGTCCGAATGCGAGGACATGTGCACTCGCACGACGCCTCAACACCTGTTAACGTTGGAACGTACGACAGGACGTCGATAGAGACGGCGTGACAACGTGCGACAAGCACTCTAAAAACTATGCTAGACAGTCTTTTTTTCTCGGCCAAGAACCAATGCTGCTTTCCCAGACATCCCCAATCGCACGCGTCGCGAAATCGCGCAAACGCCGGCTGCGGTTTGTCAATATCTCTAGTATTTGACAAGCACGTTATCTCGAGTGTGCACTTACCGTAAACGGCTAATCCCGCTCGCAGCACAGACGACGGCACTCGGCGAACGCGGCGAGGACGACATAACACGCGCACCACACCGCACCGGCCATATTGTTTACTGAAGAAGAAATTCGACTATACTGCCTGCGCTTGCTTCTGGCAACGATGGTGGCGCCATCATGCAATGAGAAACCAGTATCGATATATTTGCATCTTGCGCGGATGATATATTATTATATGTCGATAATATTGAAAACTATTAAACGTCGAATAATTACCCACTAGAAGTGCAGTGTGTTGCCAGATTCTGCCCGGTTTTTCATGCATGCGCGACGCGGCGAACGCAGTGAAGTGTTTCAGTCTAGTAAAAAAAGTATGCCATATGGTACCCGTTCATTTTAAAAAATTATTATTTTCTGAAAAATCAATAAAAAAATAAAGTATATTTACATATTTCTATATGTTAAAAATACAATTATAGAATGTAAAACAATTGTAATATATTTTAAAAGATAAGCTAAGGTATATGATAGATAAACTGAAAAAGGGTAGAGTATGTTAAAATAATGATTTCAACACATTTTTATATAAATAAAAATGAATGTTTTATTTGGCACAAATTGTAAAGAATACCAACATTTGTTGCAAGGGTAAGGAAAAGTGCCCAAAATCTTACCAGTATTCATAAAACAAAATATATTTTTGACAATTTGCAAACAATTTCTAATAATAAATAAATATGAAAAAATATATTAATGCATTTATAAACATTTATAAACTAAAAATATTACTAATATACATCACTGTATTTTCTGTTCCCGTCGTCGACGCGTTGCGCATGCGCGAAAAACCGGGCAGAATCTGGCTACACTGCTCTGCAGAGCCATTAACCGTACTTTCATGCATAGTGGCGACGCAAACGATTGTCATATGTTCAGTTAAGAGATTGCTGAAAGGATTACTTTTATTTAATTTCTTCATTATTATTGAACGAATTAAAAAATGGGCAAAGTTAAAGCTACCTCGCAACAGAAAAAAGCACCTGCAATAAAAAATACGCAATCTATTGTAAAGGTAATAATTTTCTTCATTTCTTGAGGTTCCTAGGGTCACCGCGGCCACGTTGCCAATCGTGGTGTCAGAGGCGAGGAATTACACGCTGAGAATTCTTGCGTGCCATTTTTAAATTTAAGTTATTTCATCAAAATATCTTCTGATGAATGATTGCCAACATGGCCGCGATAAGCCCACGAGCCTTGAATAATATAGACTGCGTTCGCTTTGGACGCTTATGCGCTGAAGCGTCATTCTATCTTTCTTCGACGTATGAGCAAGAAAGATAGACTGATGCTTTCAGCGCATGAGCGAACACAACCATAATGTTCAACTAATATTGTTTCTACATTTTAATTTTCAAGTCGAAAATATAAAATTGTTTTTTATCAGAAACGAAAAAAAGAAAAAGGTAAGAAAGGATTATTGAAAAACATACATAAAAGTGATTTAAACAAACCAAATAGATCTAATGAAGCAGCAAGAGATATATTCACAAGCATACAAAATAGTAAAAAGAAAAAACATAATTTTCAAAATAAACATGCTACAAAAGACATGGAGAGGTCACATACTTCAACAAAATATTCAAAGGATAATGACAAGACAAAAAAGATATTCCAAAATGTGCAAACTAACACTGACAATAAAGGAAAATACAAGAAAAATAAAAGATTGAAACAGAATATTAATCCGACTAATAATATTAAAGAAGCTAATGCTAAAGGAAAACACAAAACAAAAAATGAAAGAGTAAAACAGAACATTAATCAGACAAACAATATTAAAGAAACTAATGTCTCCAAAGTTAAAAAAGATAAAGAATTAAAAATACCTGCAGAAAAGTCTGAAATTGGCTCAAAGTGTACTAAAATAAAAATTGCGAATGTTAAGATGATAAATCGAAAGATATTGAAAAAATTATCTACCAAAACAGAGCATGCGTCGCAAAATCGCGACGCTACATCTACAAAACTAACATCTACAAAAGTACAGCAAGTTGAACCTACGAATATATTAAAATTCAACGACCATAGAATAAAGCTTAACCGATTAGAGCAAATGTTTACTAATCAATCACGAACAAAACAACCTGCAAAAATTCTTTCATTGAGAGAAGTAATGATGTCGGAATTAAGAGCATCTAGATTCAGATTTATGAATGAGTTTTTGTACAAAAATGAGAGTACAAAATCTCGTTTACATTTTTATAACGAGCCCGATGATTTTATAGCTTATCATGAGGGATATAAACAGCAGCTTAAACGTTGGCCAGTAGATCCATTGGACTCCATAATATCATCTATTAAAAAAATGTTTGTGTATTATACCTTGATTTTAAAAAAAAAAATTATGTAAACTTGAATACTGTAATTTTTATAATTGTAGGCCAACTCACATTGTAGTAGCTGATTTTGGATGTGGAGAAGCACGGCTTGCTTCTTCTGTCCCTCATAAAGTACACTCGTTTGATTTTATTGCTCTAAATAAGAATGTACAAGCTTGCGATATAGCTGATTATATTCCATTATCAGAAAACAGTGTCGATGTTGTTGTATTTTGTCTCTCTCTAATGGGAACTAATCTTGATAAATACATAATACAAGCCAACAGAGTTCTTAAAATGAAGTAAGTAGTAATGATATTCTTTATTAATTGAAAGAACAAAAATCTAACAAATCAATATCTTTGTTTCAATGAATTTAGTGGCATATTAAAAATAGCAGAGGTCGGAAGCAGATTTGAGAAGGTGATCGATTTTTTTAAATCAATGAGCAAGTTTGGTTTTAAAATTACATGGGCAGATGAATATGGTACAGCCCTGTTTTACTATATGGACTTCAAAAAGGTGGCAGATATATGTATGGAAAGAAGAGAAGGCTTCCCTCCAATTACCTTAAAACCATGTTTGTATAAGAAAAGATAAGACTTGATGTACGTATTAAGTACTTTTTTTATTTTATTCATAATATAAAATTTAAAAAGGACAAGTTCTGCATAAATATTTTTTTCTTCTAAACGTTTATGTATATTATATTACATTAATAAAAAATTATGTTCCACTCTATTATGTTGATATTACCATCTTCTAAGTATATATCCAACAGTGATTGAGTGATTATTCTATGTGCCTGCTTAAACAATATGCTATTCTTTAAAACATATTGCTCTATTAGGCACAAACCATAAATAAAATTATAGGTAGGAACTTAAAATGTTTTATAAAAATATAGATTAAAAAAAATCATTTTTTATAACAAAATAATAATTTACTTATTTCTTAATTACATAAATGCTTAATGAATATATGTTTAAGTACACAATATATTGTTAATTTATATATACATAGAAATTTGAATTACAATATATATACAATAAAAATTGTTTCTCCAAAAAAACGTTTGATAATAATAACTATGTTTAGGCTTAGAAATCTATTTTAGAAAAAAATTTTGAAAAGTTATTAGAATTTATAAACCTAGTTCTAGTTGACTCACATTTATACTTTCCAGAATGGTTTCAAATTCATCTTTTAAGTCCTCTGCTTTTTGCAGTAATAAAAGCTATAATTTTGCATAAACAAAAAAAATGTGTAATTATATAAATTATTATAAGATAGGATATTTTTATTAATATAGATTATATGACTTACTTTTGCTGCAGCTGTAATTTGTGCTACTATTTTTTTACTTAAATATGGAATTTTGTCTTCTAACTCTCTCGGATCGGCTTTTGCTATAGATTGTAAAGTTTTATAGCCGGCTTTGTACAATTGACGGGCTCTACCCTAAAGCATATATTAAAACAAATATAGATCTATTTTTGTCTTGAAATATATATTATTTATACATAACGAAAGATATGTAACATAATGTAAAGCTAATAATCAACTTACTATTTTAACTGACGGAAGTTCCATTAATGTTTCCAATTCTAATGGACAACAGTAAGATAATTTTTTACTAAATGAGCCCAACATCTCAGTAAATGCCCAAAACTCAGGTAACTCCTGTAAAATAATATATATTCAAATACAAGATGGACTAAAATATTTTATATTCTTATTCTTTTACGATATAACTTATTTACCTGACAAAATCTCACCACACAAGATGCAAACATTGAGGTTGTATTTAAAAGAACTTGTATAATACCTCGATTGACTTGATATTTCTCGGCAACAAAATAAACTGAATGATGTTTCCATAATTCGTGTATTATTAACGTTACATAAAATCTGTGAGTTACCCTTTTTTCGACAGACTACAATCACATTTTTTTTAAATAAAGCAATGCATTTAGATGTAGTCTGAATTATTTAACAACATACTAACCTTAGGCGTTATACCATCACGTAATTTATTTGCCGTAGCTTCTGTTATTCCGAGAAGTCTAGCAACTTGCATTTGACTTTCCGTCAAGTCCATTATCTTGAAAAAAAAATGCGAAATATATAATATCGATATAATATATATTGATGTCTGAAAAATATGAACAATATTATTACCACATCATAATAAATACTGCCGATGGGAGTAATTTGAGATGCGCTGTCGTAAGGTGTGACGAGATATAAAAGATGAAGATTATCGATTAAGATTAAATTCTTTTGAGCTACTTTTAAATCCTTATACAGTATGTATGCAGTTTTTAAATCGATCGGACCTACAACGAAAATATATAAAATTTTATAAAAATAGATACGCGAGATAAATCAAAATCTACTGCTCTCACCTTTCATCGCAGCTTGTCCCAAGTCACAAAGCTGAAACTCAGTTTCACTTGTAAACGTGACCGTTTTCACTCCTTCTTTCGGCGATTTCATTATTTCTTGAGATGGAATGGCAACAGTTACATTAGGATTGCCAGTATTGCCGCCTTTACCTTTTACTTCTATCACACCACATTTTAGTAATTTTGTTACGGTTTCATCTGTGATTGCTTTTAAATTGACATCTATTTTATTTTGTTGAATATTAAGTAGCGTTGCAGCTGTCAATTTCTGAAATTCCGACCTAGTTGTTGCCATATTTAATTGTATTGCACTTAAAATCAGATTGTTCATTCCTCTATCGTTTTCTGTGTGTAAACTACTCAGTGAGTCATTCATTTGGGACATCAAGAGTTCTTTCACCTGCAATGTAAATTACTTCTTAGCACTTCAAATAATTATTTATAATAAATTATGTTAAACTTGAAACCTATTCTATAAAATCTTACCTTATCGATCTCAGATTTTTTACAAATAAGTATACTTTCTCCTAAAACTCCCATACCTGCGCGACCAGCACGACCAATCATTTGTTTGTATCTACTTAAATTCAAGAATTGATTACCAACATACGGACTACGTAATATTACCTAATAAAAAATATATATTATAATTAACTTTGTATTAATGACATCAGTCGCATCGTATTGATTTAATGAATTACCCTTCTCGCTGGTAAATTAACACCAGCTGCCAAAGTTGATGTGCAACATATTGCACATAAAATACCTCCTCTGAAAGCATCCTCTAACAAGCGACGCTCTTCACCTGTAAGTCCAGAATGATGGTAGGCCACGCCAAATTTAATGGTCTTCCGCAAAATAGGACACAATAAACCTTCTTCCGTCTTAAGTGCGTTTAGCAACGTTATTTTTTCATCTACTTTGCACTCACACAAACTTCTGAAATGATAATTTTAAAGTTAATATAATCGCGTTTACGTAGTTTAGTTTTCTTAAAACTATTATTTGAAATAAATATAACAGAGACAATATCTTACTTGGGCAAAACTTTAGTTAATAATAAAGCTACATTTTCACAATTTTTACGACTTGAACAGAATATAAGACATGAATCGTTCGGTGCTACTTCCGTTACCAAACCGCCAATTCTATCTGGATCTAGTATCGCTACATCATCTGAGTACTTTACAACAAAATTATTGTTTGACATTATTTATTATATGCAAAGATCTCATGAAATAAAATTTAATTAATTTACCTTGTAATCTTTGCTGCTCATATCTACTAACAATTCCTCCCTATTCAAGTTGACTACCCAGATATCATTCTCACACTTCACATATTCCGTTATTTCAATCGGTCGAAAGTTTTGAGAATATGTGTCCGCATTGAGAAATTGAGCAATTTCATTTAAATTACCTATTGTTGCGCTCATACCAATTAAGCGTATTGTGTCTACAGAAAAATTGAAACTCTATTTAAAAACATTTTTAGCAAATACCAATATTTCTTAATTATAATTTTACTTAAATATTTATAAGTACCATTAAAGAACATTATCTTTGTAAGAAGCACTTCTAATGTAGCACCTCTTCCCCCAGACTCTCCAAGTAAATGTAACTCGTCAATAACTATAATGCCAATCTAAAAAATATTTGTTGTATTATTCAATTATATATAAGTGTTATATTAAATATTCCAACTTACCTCAGTTAAACAGTTCATTTCTATTAAACTATTTACAAGTCCTAAAGCTTTCTCTATAGTACATATATAAATGCTATTTTTTCTTCGCCGTTTGATTGGTGGATAACGTCCTTTTGCACCGGCATATTCTTCGATTAAAAAACCTAGTTTTAATGCTAATATAGCCATTGATTGAACCTATGCAAATATAAATTTATAAGCTTAATTATACTGAATCACATTGATGGTTTCTACAATATGTTAATTTATTTATTAAATGTTACACCTTTTCCTGCACCAAAGACACATATGGAAGTATAAAAATTGCATTTTTCTTATTAAGTATAATTTCTCTAAGCATTAATATCTCTGCAACCAATGTTTTTCCACCACTTGTTGGCAAAGCATAAATTAAATTCTTCTTGGTGCTAATAGCTGACTTTAAACACTCATCTTGCCATTCTGCGTTAAAAAATATTTTAAAAAAAATTATATTTCCATAAGAATACATGAAAATTTTATTGTCACATAATCACAAACTTACGATATAACTCACAAATTCCTTTGGTTTCTTGAATCAGTTTTTTCACAGTGTCTGTTAAACCATAAAATGAAGATTGTTTTGTGGAACTTTCTTCTTCCTTTTTTATTTTGATCTCTGATTTTACTTCATTATCATTTAAACGCAATTTTTTTCTTGGTATCTTACATTCCTTTAAAGTTTTAGATTTAGTTTTTAGAATTGGTGATTTATCTTTGTCATCTTCTCTGGAAGGACTTATATAATTATTATGCTCTAAAGTATAATCACCAAAATCTGTGATATGTAAAGATGATATATCAGTCACTTTATCTTGGTCCAATATACTATTATTCATTTTATCTAAAGATGTTCTTTCAATATTTTGCTCTGTATTTGCCGGCTCAAATTTTGTGTCTTCTTTGTAAAATGTATCAAACATATCCAAGTTACTGATATTATTGCAATTCTCTGAAACAAGTGCTTCGCTCTGGGAATCAAACTGAGCGAATACTTGATTCAGTAAGGATTTATCTTGCCATTCATTTATGTTAGGAGACGTGCTTTGTAACACTTTTGACATAATTGTTGCATTGGTTTTAATGTTTTGTATCTGCTCGTCAGAAACTTGTGCTGTTGCACCATTGTGCTCCCGAAAGGACTCGCACATTTCGGAGGAAGTATGCAGTCCACTGTCAGTTTCTACATTACACAACAATGTATTATCCAACGATAATAAGGATTCGATAGCGTGCGGCGACTTAGACCTCCTACTATTATTTAAAAATGATATATGGTTTTCTTTATCATCATTTGACACTTCCATCTGACAGATATAAAAAACAAATGCTTGCAAAGTAAATCTGCTCTTTATAAACAATTTTTTAATTACAGATATAAGAGAGCTTTATCACAGAAAACTGTCACACAATTCATTTTACAGTGCTAAAGAAAAATTGCAATATCAGTCGTTCAAATCATGTAATGATGCATTCAAAATGATAACCTCTTACGATCATATGATTTACATAGTGTAGCAGATCTGTTCTTCATAGTTACACATAGTTACACGTAGAATGAAACAGATATATGAAACATTATTCGAGAGCGAAAGAGAAGAGAGAAAAAGTACAGGAGATGCAATTGTAAAGAACAAACCTAACATCTCCAGCAATAGGCAGCCGAATTTATCGTCAAACGTGTTTCATTAATAAGACGAAATGCCGAAAAAGAAAACCGGTCAGAGGAAAAAAGCCGAAAAGCAAAAGCTCCGGCAAAAGGAGATTAGAGCTGCCAAGGAACAAGTTGACTTGGCGAAATTTCCTTGCAACTCCGTGATGGTGAGTTTTATTCGTCGCCTGACAAAAATATTTTACATTAACTTTTACATTTGCATTACAGGAATGCGACAAGTGTAATAAAAAGCAAAAGAGTCGTGCCTTCTGTTACTTTTGCCAGAGTGTGCAACGTTTGCCCATATGTGCACACTGCGGCAAAATCAAGTGTATGTTAAAAACAGGAGACTGTGTAGTACGTCATCCTGGTGTCTTCACCACAGGATTAGGAATGGTGGCAAGTAAATTTGCATCTAAATTAAATCATAAAAGCATTGTCATAAATTTGTAGACATGATGAGTTTTCACAATTGATTGTTTTAGGGAGCTATTTGTGATCACTGTGAAGCCTGGGTCTGTCATGGAAGACGTTGCCTCACCAGTCATGCTTGCATCTGTCCTCTGACAGACGCCATTTGTCAGGAATGTGAGAGAGGTGTCTGGGATCATGGCGGAAGGATATTTAAATGCTCATTCTGTGATTGTTTCTTATGTGAAGATGATCAATTCGAGCATCAAGCATCCTGCCAAGTACTGGAAGCAGAAAGTTTCAAATGTAATAATTGCAATAAGAAGTATTTTTATATTTTGTGAAATTTTGTATTTTATGAGTTTGATTTCAATTCTGTTTAAAATTTTCAGGTCAATCGTGTAATCGTTTAGGACAGTACTCTTGTCTCAGGTGTAAAACATGCTATTGTGAGGATCACGTTCGTAGAAAAGGTTTTAAATACGAAAAGAATAAACCTATTCCTTGTCCAAAATGTAGTTATGAGACATCACAGACTAAGGATCTAAGCATGTCCAGTAAGTATTAATTATAGACAACATTTTTCACAATTAATTTTGGTGATAAAAATGCATTATATATATGAGTTGTTTTATTTATTCGTTATTTTTATTTTTACAGCAAGATGTCATAAATTTGGCAGACAAAACCAAGGTGGTCCATCCGAGTCTGACGATGAAAACGGATATGATTATGGTATGTCAAGTTATATCTGTTACTGAAAAATTATTTCAAAGCTTAAAATATTTATATGTAAATTTTTTTGTCTTTGAAAACAATTTTTGCTTCGAACGATAGGAAATCAAAATTCTTATTATGAAACAGGAGGTTACACCAATGATGATGATGATAATGAAGATGATGATGAAGATGATGACGACGATTATGATGAAGATGATGATGAAAATGAAGAGGATGATGATGAATCATCAAGTGAGGATGAAGAAAAGAAAGATACTAAATTACAAACTTCAGATGCCAATCAAAGTAAAGCTTAACATTTACCTCAAAATATAAAGTAGCAATAATTAAGAATAAAATGTTATCAGAAAATTTGGTATATACAATGATATATATGAAATATTCAGGAAGACAGGAATCTTTCAAAAGAGAAGTAATTTAAAAATATTTTGTAGCAATCAGAAATAAATTACAATTTATATATATATATTCATATATTAAATACGCATATTATTCAAATCTCTAAAATTCTCTCTTTCTGAAACAGCAATATATAAAGAATGAAACACAGATTAAATATTGAGCAAATATTTAATATAATACAAAAAGTAATAATGAAGAAATAAACATTTATTGTATATGGATTTTTTATGCAGCGTAAATAAAGATCTTATAAAATCATCCATACAATTGTAATTCAATTCACACATTTAAATTACATTATACACGTAGTGTTGTATATTCATGTGGAAATTTAAAAGTATGTGAACCAAGAGCACTAACACTGGGTAACAATCCAGCATTTGGAATAATGTTCCACGATAATGTTAACGTTACATTATTATTTCCCCTGCAAAGATACAAATGGTATATTTAACATTTATAAACATATCAACAGGATTTTATTCCTACAATAAATAATTTTATATATTTTACCTGAGGCCTTTACCATCGTCCCAAAAATAATACTTCGTATTCATGTTTTTGAAATCAAGTACAGCATTGTCTCCACGAAGCACTATCTTGTCCCATAACACTACCTGTTAATAAAAATAAAATTATTAGTTATATCTTTTTATATGGAAGTCAAATAAAATTGTATTTTCATTAAACAAATTTATCCAAAAACATACCTGATTAAATTCATTATTTTCTGTCTGATATTCTGCTGTGAGATATAAAAATAATTGTTTAACGTTCCAATTAAACAATGGAGTAAGATTTATAAGTATTTGGTAAGGTAAATAATTAGAAATACATAGATTTTATATAATTGTTTCAAGAAGTAAAATTATCATTGCTTTTGTTTATTTTAAATAGACACGAATAAAAAAATTAAAAGATATTTGGAAAAGATATCAAAATTAAAAGTTTTATTTTAATAGCAAATAAATGTTCAGCTGTAATACTATATGCAAAGGATATCAGTTTTCAAGTCAAACGTTAAGTAACCCAAATCATTCCTTTCCCTTGATGCACTATAATCTGGCACATTTTTTCTGCAAAACAAAATATAATGATTACATAATACGATTATACAAGTCAATACAAGATAACAATTTTTTCAATATGTTGAAACAAGATAAGTCTTAATACTTAAATCATACATCAAGTTTATTTTTTTTTTTTTGTCAAAATACAAAATACAATATGGATCTTCAAGTAGAATCAATAAGCAAGAGTTTAATTAAAACTACAAAATTATGACATATTTATTGTACTTACACAACAACTTTAATAGTTTTTAATGTCGCATTTGCTCTATAATCAATAAATACTGTCGAGAGAAAACAACAAAATGTGAGACAAGCCGACACACTTAACGTATATGCTAAAATAGCATTTCCACGTGTCAAAACTGTATGCATTATTATGACTGTGTTCCAATTCAGACTATGTTACGATATACACTGCCAATACCGGCAGTACTGAAATTCGTTCCGTTATTAATGAAATGGAATGCAATACACTGTAATTGAATAGCATTGAACAGTATCTAGTAACGTCAAGACTGTCAACACGTCATAACTAGTGGCCATATTGCCACTGTGAATTCCATGTAGCGAATATCATATAGCGAATTTTCAAATGAACGGATTTTGATCCATTGCGAATTAATTAATCACTATTTTACTACAAATTTAAGTCTTTTATTGGCGAAGACGATATAATGACATCATTAATCAACTTCAGGTGTTAAGCATGCGAGAGAGAGTAAACATCACCTTTAGACTCTGTCTTTCTCGGAGCCATTTTTAGCCAAGACTCAAACCAAATGATAAATCTTAGCTAAAATGGTTTGAGTCTTGGCTAAAAATGATTCTGTGTCGAGAGAGAAAGAGTCTAAGGACTCATGCTTATTCTGTTTCTCGCATGCTTACTTAGGTAGCTTGTGCATATGTGTGGTACCCCCTACATTCATACTGCTTGCTTCTTGCGTCTCAAATCTGGCCACACTGATGTATACTAAAGTTCAATGCCATAGATTATCGAATAGTGTCCAACCTGTATCCGTGGATGATCCGTGTACAGAGTCTGACAGAGTTGTGAGTGGGTTGTGCGGCCCGGTTACTTGGACACGTTTGTGGTTATCAAGTTTGACAATAAACATCGGGCCGCATTGTATGACTTGGAGTTAACGATTCGCCAACGATGGGTAAGTCGTGGCCGCGCATTTTCTCGTTTATATCGCATGTTTGCACGGTGAAAATAAATAATAACACGTCGCGCAGCACGGTTATCGTATACTACCTGTCGTCGAATTATCTTTTCACGAGATTTATATACGAGATCCTGACGTTGTTTTCTTGCAGGTGGGTTGCTCAGTTATTTCCGTAACCTGCTCGGCAGCCGCGAGATGCGCATCCTGATTCTGGGTCTAGACGGCGCCGGCAAGACCACGATTTTGTACAGGTATGCATTGACAGTCTTCTCAGTGACAGGCTGCCGTTTCTGTTTATATATGTGACGTATTACAATTAATTGTGTTAATTTTATTATGAGTATTGTACGTTTTATATATTATATTGATTGTCAAAGTATAATTGTGTCGATAAATCGATTGTTTATTTATTATAGAATTTTAAACTATAGCGAATTTTCTCTAACTGATCGCTTATTTAGGTTGCAGGTGGGTGAGGTAGTAACTACAATACCAACCATAGGGTTCAATGTAGAACAAGTTATTTACAAAAATTTAAAGTTCCAAGTTTGGGATCTTGGTGGTCAGACGAGTATACGGTAAATAGAGTTTGTGAAAGCTAGTTTTCTGTAAAATCTATGTAATAACGTTTGTATTTCATAAATGAATGTTATTGCAGACCATACTGGAGGTGTTATTATTCAAACACAGATGCAATAATTTATGTGGTAGATTCAGCAGACAGAGATAGAATAGGCATATCAAAGGATGAATTAATTCTCATGTTGCAAGTGAGTAACATCTTCGTTAAAGATAATTTTGCATTGTATATTTTTTAGATAAAAATATCTTTATTTTTGCTTTATACTAGTATAAACGGTCGTCTTTTAAAAATATCACATGTGATTCAAAAATATCCTGTCTTAAAAGTTTTTCATTGGACAGTGATTATGATTATATGAATATGTCTTTAAATAGGAGGAAGAGTTGCAAGGTGCCATTTTGGTCGTATTAGCGAACAAACAAGATATGGCAGGGTGCCTCAGTGTTGCAGAAGTCCATCAAGCGCTTGGATTGGACGCTCTCAAGAACAGAACCTTCCAAATATTCAAAACTTCCGCGACAAAGGGCGAAGGACTTGACCAAGCGATGGACTGGTTGTCAAATGCACTGCAGAGTAGAAAATGATCAATATTATGTCAGAATAATTCATATACAAGCCTTACAAGGGGACTGGTCATACGACTGTCACTTTGAATCTGTGTCACCGGGATTGTTCTGGAGCACAGCAATGTTCTGTTTATTTATTGTAATTATTATTATTTTAAATATCCTTTGTAATTTACAGGAAAAGTAGTCACTACTTTTTCATGCAGAGAACACGCGATAATAAGAAAATCATTTTATCTTTCTATAAGACTTAAAACTATTTAATATAATTAGAGGGTTCTTTTTTCAATTTAGATTTTTTGCACTAATAGGTATCATATCATTGTGCTATATGTGAATAGTCTCTGAGAAGAGAAATAATTTGATTAAAAACTTGTTCCTCACTGAACTCAACATTGCAATTATGTATTTGTAGTCCACTTATAATTATTAATTTACTTCAAATGATCAGTTAAAGAATTGCAATATATTTTATATTTCAAATTTCAAATTGTTCTACTATTTTGACAGTAATTGAACTAAATATAAAATTATGAAGCATTTATAATGAGAATTATTACATACAAATATTGGTATGAAATATGTAACCAACTATCAAATAGAATCGAAAAAAATATTCGAAAAAATGTTCAAATTTATAAAAATATTTCAGCGCTCCGTTCATATCTATACATAACATACTATTATATCGACTTATTTTAAATTGTGAAGTACTTTTTCCAAGCACAAGAATACAAGTATAATAGAAATAAAATGAAATTCAATGCGGATGGGGCACAAACGTAACATTATACTAGCATTTATAAAAATTGTTACACAACATAAATAAAATAAAGTTAATGCTGCCGCGAAGAAATCACGTTAGTGTTAGAAGCGATACCATTTTCGAGTATTTGATGTAAGTTACATCCTAGTTTTATTTAATTCAGATAATTTATTTACGGTTCAATAGTAAATATGCCAAATAATAGATCATGGTTGCTAATATTTTCCAATATACATACTTATATTTATTGAGCAGCGTATTGAATTTTGGTAATTAATTTATATATTGAGAAATATAAATACTATTTCATAATAAATATTTAAAACACTGACTAAACTTATTATGTAAAATAACAGTAATCTTACTATTATGTGTAGCATTTACAAAATGAACCCACCTAACGTACGGCGATCGTTGTTTTTACCATTCCGGAATACCAAACCTTTTGATTCGTTTCACTTTTGCAGTCATATCTATTCGAGATTTCACCCTCATGTAAAATATCGGGCAGTCACGGCTGAAATCATATTAAAAGCAATACTTTTGAGTATTTGCACTGCCATAGATATAGATGTAATTCAACATGCATCCTAAGAAAATGTAGAAAGAATTCAATATTGATGCAACTAACTTGGAGCAAATAACTTCTTGATGAAGACTGCCTTGACATCTCTGACATTCCGTCCACAATCGGGCGAACTTTTCTTCCAGTTTACGTTGGGCCTGCAACTCGTTGTGGAACAACTCGGCCTCTTTAGATTCACAATGCTTGCACACCGCCTTGTCCTCCCTGTCCGGCGGTAAGACGGATTTACAGCCCAAACAGGTTTCCTTTTTACGCGTGAAGGCCGCAAGCGCTCCGACTTGCGAAGTAGCGATGCATCTTGTGCGCGTGTGATCTCCTTTCAGGAGAAGCGACTCCGCCTTATCGCCGAGAATTGGTTCGAAGATACGTACAAGAGGTTTCGCCAGTTGATTTTCCAGATAATAGTTCGTATCTATTGGGATGCTATTTTGCAACGCGTAAACGGGATCTTCCGCTTTTTGGTACGCCGGAGTGCCCCTAGCCGCGCTTGTAAATACATACGCCACTCTGTCGCCAAGTTTCGGCGCGTTACCGGCATCTCGCTTCTTCATCTTTGCCGCCAGCTCGACGTGCGCCTGTCTCGCCGTGTAATCAGTTTTTGTCAACTCTTTTGTGATGACCAATTGAGAGAGATCGATGCGATTACACAGAAGATCGCTTATGATCTGTTTAGCGTAATCCACCGCAGCATGTGGGTTTCTGTAACATTACACATCTGAAACCCCGTAAAATAAGTACACGCATGAGTTGGATGAAATAAGAAGGAATAATGTACCTTTCGATAAGCAATATCTGCAGACAAGTGTTCATCATGTTCGCAACCAATGGACAGTTATCTCTGCGCACCGTTTCGAGACCCTTGCAATCCATTTTGTCGTACTTATCGGGTTTCGTAAAGTACAGACCGGCATAACGTTTCTTGTTGATCAAAAGATACGGGAAGTACACTTTCTCAAACTCCAGTTTTATAGGCTTAATGAACTTGGATGTCACGTATTCGGCCGCCTTTTTACCGAGCTCCATCGCATCCTCTATGGTTTTCACGCCGAATTTCACCATAACGGAATCAGTGTCGCCGTATATAACCATCGCGTCCTTTTTGTATCCGTTTTCGATTCGAAAATGATCCTCCACTTCTTGCTTCGTTTTTTCGATCATGGTACGTCCATAAGAAGTAACGCTCTGTAATTACATTCGTTATTCAGTGTTTCATGATACATTATAAAACAAATCCTTTTTTTTTTTTTTTCAAATATTAAATATTTTTAGAAGATCGACAACTTACAGCGGATATTTCCAAGCACGGTAATTTCCCCATCTGTGCACCCGTGAAACCATACACCGAGTTTGCCGAAACTTTTAAAGCATACTGCCTACCATCTAATACTTTTTGCTTTAACGGATCCGTTTCTTCTTTCAATTCTGCTTTCGCCTTTTTTCTGGCTGCCAATAAATTTTCCAAAATTTCGGGAAGGATTCCTTTCCTCGCGGAACTCTTGACGAATAATGAATTAGTGGGAGTTGTCGTAATTTGGTCTTCGTCGATATTAAGCTCCTTTTTTTTAGCAACGGTCAGCAACGTTGTGTAACATAAATTGTGCGCCATGATAATACTAGGATATAGAGAGCTAAAATCTAAAGTAGCTATTGGATCGTTGTAGTAGCCACGTTTTGGTTCTATGACAGTAGCCCCTTCAAACTGCTCGTCCGTACCGTGGCCTTGGTGCACTGGCATTAAATAATCCTTCTCTCGAGTCTGACAACAAAAATAAATGAGTTTGCTTGTGCATCAATGTGCTATTATTTTATTTTTATAATCGTAAACTTATTATACCTTACGTAAAAGTTGAGAAACAACTTTGATCTGCTGACCGCGAGTTAATAAACTAGAAATGGATACTCCTGTAACTCTTGCCATTTCCATATAGATAATTACACACATCAGCTTGTCCAGTAATCTAAGCGGCAAGTACGCATCCTTCAAACAATATACAGCGAGACGACGGCGTGTCTGCGCATTTCCATTTTGTAATCCCGTAATATCCTTGTGGTGAACATCTTCCTTTTGCTCTTGAAGAAAGTGATATGATACCGCATTGAGAGTATAAGATCTGAGTTTGTAATCTCGAACCAAAACCTACAAATACATATTTACATGTTTTTATTGCGGTTGTGATATAAAAGAGAGAATCGTGTTTATTAACTTCCTTACCAACAATAAATCGAACGGAACTCTTCCTTCAAAATTGATTGATTTGTTCTCACGACGACCCAACTGTTTGCTTTGCAACACATGATCTTTGATAACAGACTTTATATTCTTTATTCGACCGAGAAAATTAAAATCTTTAACATTGAGATGCTGCGCGCGATTAATCAAATATGGAAAATCAAAATTGTTTATGTTATATCCTGTAAAAATGTCTGGATCTAATTGTCGCACAAAATCAGCCCATTTCTTGCAAAAAAAAAAAAAGAATAGAAAATTATTAACAAAATGATTTAAATATTGTATCAAAAGTTTTTCCTACGTTTTAATTAGCTTACCTCCAGCATTGCATTTTCTTTGTCAAAGCTCAACACTTGGCTGCCAACAATAGGCGCACAGGTGTCAAGAGTAAAAATATTTCTTAAAAACGGTTCGGATTCTCCTTGTCTTATGACCATATTGGCAATTTGTATCACTGGATCATGTTTTGCTTCGGGAAAGATACCTGGAGGAAAAATTTTCAATTTAATTTGAGCAATAAAAAGTGCCACGATTAAGAGAAAAAATAATAACCTTCACGTCCAGCGCATTCGATATCAAAACTGAGAATTCTGAACGGAGCTATTTTTGACCATTCTCCTTCTGGCGCATGAGCTATGAAAGCATCCCATGCAACATCTACTTCTAATTGACATCGTGTAGTTAGCTCCAACTTATGTCCATACTGACCACGTAACTTCCAGCTTGTTGGTGGCAATTCGATCCAAGAACAGCCGACCACTGATGTGTCAACCATAAACCTTGTAAATATTAAATATAGATATTCAATGTTATGATTTTTAATATAAAATAAAAGTATAACACAAAATTAATAGAATATCAATACATACCGAATATCAAAATCGATGTTACTTTCAAAAGCCTTGTACTGATGATTAAAAGAAGAATAGACCGTGTCTTGTTCCAGTAATCTTTTGCAAGGTGCTATCAATTTTGGAACTGCTACCGTAATTTTCAAAAATTGCAATTTATTGTTTCCACCATATCCATACATTGATTGCTTGTAGACCAGTTCAACTGCCAGAATGGCTTCTTGAACATTATCTCGATTTGATCTCATATCTTTTTTCACTGCTTGATTTAGAGCTTCCTGCATTGAAGAAATTCTTCATTAATCATCAATTTAACTGTAATAATTAAAATAATTTTTTTCTGTTAAAGTGAACACATACTTTGAATGGTCTACAGTGATTATTTGTAAAGTTCGATGGTGCTGATACAAACAGATATGGGCAAAAGCCATGAACATGGCAACAAACAGAATTTCCTTCTTCTGTAACGCCAAACATCCTCATTATGGGTACAGGTCCTACATTGCTACCTGGCATTCCATGGAGAGGTTTACCTATGTACAGACAATTATAGATTATCAAACAGTATTAATAATATAATACATTTGTAATTGACGCTACTGTAAATATTGTTCTCACAAACATAGAAAATGAAATATCATTAAAAACAAATTATTACCTATGTAATGATCAATTTCTATTTGCTGAAATATTAATGTATCTTTTTGTGGATTCAAGGGCGGTGGAGGAGCTCTGCTCCATTTTGCAGATGTGTTTTCTTGTTCAGGTCCCTATATATAAAAAGAGAAGAGAATTAAATCTAGATCTTAAATCTTAGATATTTTTACAATAAATAATACATAAAATGTTGTGTGTATATAATACAATATATAGTATAGTATAGTACATATAGTATATATAATACAATACAAAATAGAGATTTTACAATGTTCTTGACATAATCAAGTCATACCTCTCCAACTACCAATGCCTCATCTAGAAAATCATCTTCCATGTAATCCATAGTAGCCAGTTCGGCTTCAAATGAATTAGGTTTCTCCTCATCTTCATCTCTGCTTGATAAGATAAAAAATAAAATAAAGAATATTAAATTAATTTTAAGGCTTATATCGAGAGCATAAAAAATATGATGCAAAAATAACAATTTAATATTGTAAACTTATTAAATACTAATTAAATCTTTCAATAATAAATGTATATACAAATTAATTTCAATAAAAATGCATTAAAATGCCAAATAAAAGAGTATTTGCTTAGATATATCTAATATATATATAAAACATTCTAAATAAGATAAAAATTATTAGGATTAAATAAAAAAATATATATTAGATACTTATTTAATTAAATATTTATATCATAAAATATAAAAAGTATTAAACTTAATAATGTTATTAGGCAAAAATTAAAGAAAACAAAAACTTAGAGGTTAATAAATATTATGCTTTAGTAACAAGACAAGTAGTTACCTAAATTTGGGTTTTTTTGCTGAAGATGTTGAAAAAGGTTTTCGATTAATTTTTTTGCTCATGTTCCTTTCTGCAACACGCAATATTTATGTGAAAAATGAAGCAAGGAATTGCAAGTTTCTCAATCATATATACTATGAAAGGCGGGAACAACGATTTAACTATTTTCATTTCATTGGTTCATTTAGTCTACAGATTGATCAACTTCGTAAAACAATATTCCCTAAAAACTTTGTAAAGGGACTTTTATCGGTGGTAGTACTGATACATGACGTCGTGCGCTGTATTCAGATCAGCTGACCGTTAGCATATATGTATATCACGTAATATATATTTTTCCTTGGATTTTCATGCAACAATGAATACATTATGCCTTTTCGTACTTATTTCCTAACTGTATCAATTGAAAAGAAAAATATCTAAATAATCTATTGATTGTCACTGGTCACAATTACTAAGTATAAATCATCAAAATTGAAAAAGTCTTGTTTTGAATAAATAGATCGCATAAAACGTGATCATAGAGCATATAATGAATTGGCGAAAATTTTGGATGATCAAGAAGAGTCAGGATGAAAATATAAACGAAACTGAAACGTATACAGATGATGGAATTACTGAAAGCGATGAGACAATCTCGACGAAAAAGAGTTCTAAGAATATTGACACTTCCCTTCATAAATTATCTTATAAGCGATTACCGGGAGGATATCTTAAGTTCTTTTTTCTATTGCTTAACAGCGTGGCCGTTGTGAGTTTTCCCAATTTTTAAACAAAGTTTTCGATTTATAGGTCTAACAACCGGTATGGTTTAATTCTAAAATTTATTAAGCTTGCAGGTTTAATAGCGATAGTGATATCTACCTGGATGTTGACTAATGGAGATTTAACGTCTAGATTAATCGGTCAACGACTTTCTATGACGATTATATTAATTTTAGGAGTGTTTGTGACTTTTATAGCTTTTACTGGAATTATAGGAATCAGGAAGAAACGGAGATATTTTATGATTTTCGTAAGTCAAATTAGTCAAGGGGAAAAATCCCATAAAAATAAATCTTATATATATTAAAATATATATAATTATCTATTTAGAAAACTTGATAAAACATGAAAATTTTTCAATAACTTTTCTATCAGATATTTTATTTTTTAGTATTTAACGTGCCAATCGCTTGCTCTTTGTGCTATATTTATATGCCTGACAATCAGTTTTCCATTTTTCGAGAAGATTACGAAGAAAATTCGAGATGACATGATAAGCGCAATGAAAAATTATCAATCTCTTGATTGGGCTACAGAAGCATGGGATAATACTCATAGATATGTAAGAACTTAAATCGCAAATTTATTATGCAAAAATTAATTTTTTTTGACACGAGAAATTTTAACACAATTTCGATACTTAAAATTTCTATTAAAAATAATTTGTTTTAGTTAAAATGTTGTGGAATCAAATCTTCCCAAGACTGGTTGGATAAGCAAATGGAAATTCCGCAAAGTTGTTGTTCCATATCGATTATTCAGGTAAATTTTAGAAAGTTCAGTAAAATTTTAATGTGCAATGAGAGTTATAAAATTGGCATAATGGCACCTAATATTAATTAATATTTTATAAGATAATTAAAATAGAGCTTAAAAAAGCTTGAGGGTTGCTAAAATAGCTTTTACGCAAAACTTACATCCGCTTAGTCATGGATGGGTTATGCTAGTCACGTCTCAATCCATTTTCTGCCATGCGGCAGAACTTGGTCCACGTATTTTCTTTTTCGTGTCGGGAAATGAGCAAGAAGCATTCACGCGCAGCACACATCCGGTCGCGCCTAATAATATCCCTCTTACTCTCCGTACTCGAAAATTTTCTCTTTTGCCTCTATTCCTCGGAAGTCATAACAATCCGTCATTTTCAGCCAGCCAACTGCGTCCTATAATAAACTACTATTCTATTAATAAATGTTTCATAATTCTCAATTGATATAAATAGATAATTGATATAAAAATCAAATACAATTATACTCGATGATCATAATTATAATTAATAACTATATTAACTCGTTTCACTATTCATATAGTGATTTATTTTATTATTAAACAAATATTATTCAATAGCACGTGCAAATTTAGTCTAATGAAAGATATAATATAATAATTTTATACAAAGTTAATTTAAAATTTAATTAAATTAATTGAGTTTCCACAGTACTTCTAATGTTATTGAAACAATTTTCAGTGCTCACATATGACAGAAGACATAGCTTATAAGTCTGGATGCTTAAAGGAGGCCACGATGCTGTTAAAATCGTACATCCAAACTGCTTCTGTATCCACTCTTATCATATTTCCATTTTTAGTAAGTCAGGAGTAAATTATTTTTCTCTCATCATTTTCTAATCATAATAAATGAGAAAAATGATAATAACATATCACTCGCGTTTCAGATAATCAGCGTGATTTTAGCGCTCGGTTTGCGAAAAAGGCTGCAGACGAGTCATTCGATAGAAGACGAACCGACCTATTCGAGAAGACATCAAAGGGTGAACGTGAGTCAGTGAATGACAAGTCCGAAGTAAAACGTTTTCCCGTTTTTTATTATCATATATAGATCATATATTTTCTGAAAACACTTAATATATTGTACTTAAGATAGTAATATTGTAAGTTTATTGGACATGCTGGTTGGGTCGCGTGACGCTGTCTGCCGCGTGGCAGTGGTTCAAATGGAAAATTCTGCAATTATTCACTTTCGACGCTTTCTACGATGATCACCGAATCGGGGCTGTGTGCTTCCAACACGCGAGGGGCGAAAAAATACATTTATAAAAATTACTCGTGACCATCGTAACGCTCTCGTTCACGGCAGGGTTTTCTTCAAACGGGCCTTGATCGAATGGCGGGGGATGAGACTTTTTCTTTTTTTTCTTTTTCTTATTTTCTCTTCCTACGGTAAAATGGAGCGTCTTACATGAAAAATCGATCGTTCTGTCGATGCGATACGAAATATTGACGTAGTGATAATTCAACGCGCGCGATGCACCTGTCTTTTTCTCTCCATTTATCCTTTTCTTCTAAGTTATCGCTAAACGGCTGCGGCAATCGATACCGCGTGTACATGTCTTGTGTCTGTATGTATACGTGTGTGTATAAATGTATTCTGTATATGTGTGTATTGTGTGTGTGTGTGTGTGTGTGTGTGTGTGTGTAATGTATATAGATATAGCTGCTGGGGGACAGGGCTAGGCGCAGTTGCAGGCAGGTTCCATCCAATTACAGATATATTATATCATAGCAAACATCGTGACTATTTACAATAAATACAGTCGATTAGGTTATATAAATAAAATATATATAATATCGTATCGTTAGGTTTAGGTTTACAGCAACACGTGACAGTAAACAATTAGATCAGCGGCAAAGTAGCGTAATCTATCTAGGGTAGTGGTCGTAGTAGCTTTAGCGTGGCTGACTCCTCTGCTTCTCTTTCGCGCTCGCTTAATCCTCAATATTTCTCACTTTCACGCTGCCTTTCTCTCTCTCTCTTTCTCGCTCGCTCTCGCTCTCACATCCTCAACTTCCGTCACGTTTCCGGAATTCCGAATTTCTTTTTCCATTATTTTTTTTTTTTTTTCTTCGGCGTGGAGTCGCACTCGAGTCCGAAATCGCGCGTCTCGAGAACCAATCGCGCCGCAATGCGTGGATCGACAATTACTGCTATATAATTGGCCACACTAGCTCCTCTCGTGTGTGTGTTTGTGTATATATATTTTCTCAATATATTTATATATATTTATTTATTTATTTATCTCATATAATTATTATTTCTTCGCGCGCTCTACTTCGTTTTTTTTTCTTTTTTATTTAAAGAAGTACATGGAATTGTCGCGATCCCCCACGACCATCCGCGGGGGGACGAACGAATCTGGAACGAGTTCGCAAAAACGAGAGATGAAACTTCACGGAAGTTAGAGAGTGAATTTCTTTTCCTAATATTATAATCGTGTGACGGTCGGGCCTCGAGTCGAATGGGGGGCCCCGCCCGTTCTTACGACACGTATCGCGGCTAACGCTGGCCCGCTCGTTAATTTGACACGTGATATTTAAAAATAGTCGATTCTTCTTGAACGCACCGCTGCCGGATCCGACGGCGAATACATAATACGGTTAAAGATCAAGAGTGTGACGGGCAGTGGGGAGCAGGTGTGAAGGGCTGGCTGGCCGGGGAGGGACGATGAGTGTTTAGACGTCCACGAGTGTCGAGGCATTCCTATTTCGCTCGAGAAAGTTGCAATTTATAGAAAATCGATGGCAGTCCATTATTATTACTTTTATCATTAAGATGAGAGATAGTAATTGCTTCATCGTCATTATTCAGTATAGGATTGTCAGTGTTCTTATTAAATTTTTACATTAAAATAAAGTGCGTGATTCAAGATGAAGACGATTGCTCATGAGAGACCGAATTCAATCGAGACAAGTCGCTTCCAAGATTTTCAATCTTTTGAAGATGGAATACTTTCTAGTGATAAAGTTAGAACGAAGTTAAATTGGAATATCAGCCCGACGTCGAATAAGCGAGGGAGGAATGCAGCTCGACGATCGAGCTCGTTCGCGCGGCCGTCCGTAAGAGAACGCGATGATGAACACGCACGGAGATAGATTCGCGGTGCGATTTAGCGAGTTCCGTTTCACCGCATCGTTTCGCGCGCTCGCACGTGGCGACGAGAACGTGAAATGTACAAAAAGGCTCGCCCTTGCGGCCTCGTCGACGCGAGCGCGCGCGTCTCCGATGGGAGCTTGTTTTGGACCGCGGTTTGGAATTACCCAGACAACACAATCCCTAAAAGAAGCCGTAAACTATTAGTTTTTTTTTTCCAGACATCCTACGGACATCTCTTAGACGTCTTTTAGGATTTTGCGTTGGTCGGCTATCATAGGTCTAAACACTCGCTCGAGTTAAAAATACGTTACGAAGCTTTTCTATATTTCTCTTTTTCTCTCTTTCTATATATATATATATATATATTTATTTTTTTATACACTCAGCATATAGATAACGTTTTTTTTCTTTCATCTATTCAGACAGCAATATGTCGTTGTGCCATTAACTATCCATAAACGGCACCGTCTCTAAAGCCGCGCTGCAAAATATCAATGGCGAGTACGAACGTTCGTGGAGACGCGAGCAAACAATACGAGCGATGGATCGATAGATCCGGGATTACACGAGGAAGAGAAGGACGAGGGAAAGGGCGGCAAAGGACTCACGGACGGGGTATGGAAGGAGGGAGGGGGGAAATGGGGGCAACGAGAGGTACTTCCGGTGTGCTAAAGGTGGTTCGATGCACGTATATGGGTTTTGTGCGCTGGGGGGAGCGATCGGCGCACACTTATACACACGTACACGCGCGCGTACACACATACACATACAGGCGAAACGATCGGTACTTGGCGAGCGGTAATTTTGGATACACATACTTAGTATTCTCGGTGAGGAAACATAGTTTAACGTTCGAATACGTTCATATCCAGCAAGCACAAATATGCGATATTGTATACGTATTTATTTACCGATAATGAGTTTTCATTCCACCATCGTGTTTGCCCTTCGTTACTATGCGCGGACATCGGTTCACACGGTTCTCCTGCCGCGAGTCACGGAGGAACTTCCCCACTGTCGATCCCGAACGATTATCTCTCTGCACACTCGCGCACACGACGATGCGATACAGATTCGCCGATCGGCGACGATCGGGAGCGCTTACGCTACGGATAGGACACATCCACATGTTAAAAATACGCTTAGTTTCGCTATTGGTATCCGACGTCCACATGCACGCTCATCACTCCACCGATTTCTCTCATTCGGTCTCTCTCGTTCACTCTCTCTCTCTCTCTCATTCTCTCTCTCGCTCTCGCTCTCTCTCTCTCTCTCTCTTGCCGTACAAGAAAAGCACCACTTTATAATACAAATTCGTCTCGTTCTTAATTGCCTAAAGCCGCGAACGGAAATTCAAGCTCGAGACCGCACGATCGAATCCGCACGATCGCCGCTCCTCTTCCAGAACACCGAGAAGGTCGCCTCATTTCGATTTCTTTTCTTCGGTCCGCTTCTCACCGGGGCCATTCATTGTTGAGACACGTTTCGTGTTTGTCTTCGCGCTCCCAAGCGACTACATCTGTTGCTGCGGATACCGTTCTTCCGCCACTCACCGCGCTTCTTCCCCTAAGTACGACGTTAAAACTTCGGTCGAACAAGACTGGCCGGGCAAACACACACGTGGCTTGTAACGTCGTGACGTCAATAGCGTCGTTCTTCCTGTTTCGCACTCTCCTCGCATTTATCCTACACCGAAGAAAGTTGCTACGTCAATGTAAAGCTATGTATTGACTAGTTTCTCTCACTCGAGTCGCCCTCAACGACGAATGGCCTGTTTCTCTGTTTCTCCTTCTTCTTCTTTTTTCCATCGTTCACGATATACAATATAATTACCTTGTATCAATGCGGTGTACCATTCGTGTACGATGTACACGACATACGGTCCGCCGTATTCTTAGGCCTCGAACGCAAGCTCGACGAGCTTGCCGGCCTTGCCTCGCGCGAACATAGCCAGAGGGGGGGGGTTCCTGGAACTGAATCCAAACCTGCGAACTGGCAAACGAGAGCTCTCCAGCTGCGCTCACGTCGCGCCGAATTCTCCGGAAGAAAATCTTCGCAATGTTCCCACCGTCTTCCACAGCTCGCAGTTCAGGATCGAGCAGTTCTCCATTCTCCCGGTTCTCTCCTCTCCTTTTCCCCGCCGTCGCTTATAAGGCTTTCGCGGATCTGCCAATCGCGGATCGGTCGCGCAGCTGGTCCGTGGAGCGAATACTTGGTGAAACTCGCGTTCCTCCGCGTGTGCTTAAACGCTCTTACACACTATGTACCCTATATCTCGCGTATATTTATAATATATTATATATAATATAACGTTATAGTGTTTTTGGCATCTTTGAAATACACAAATAGACTTTGGTATAAAACTTTTTGATAGTGTTCAGTACGTTTATATATGCGGCGTGCATATACGGACGCTGCGCTACTGCGTGCAACAGCGGCTCGCTCGGCTCTCTTTACCTTCCACGTTGACTTTCACGCGTCTCTCTCTCTCTTTCCTGATGTCGCTCACTCCAAAGTTTCCACGGCTTCGATACTGGACAATGTCCCCGCGCGAGGGGGACGATACGACTGACTCCCGGATGCGGTGTCGCTCTAGCACATCTTGTCTATCCACCAGAGCTTACAGGACGGCGCGCCTCTCCTCCTGCGTCGCTTCTTGCTCGACTGATCGACGGCCTTTTTCACGAACCTGATGTTGTAGGGGTCCTCCGCGAGTTCGGGGTACTGCTGCGCGTCGTGTATATATTCGCCTTCGTAATTGGACGCAAGGCCGATCTTCAGTATCTCATCCTGCTCGGCGGCCATCCACTCGACGGATGTCGGGGTGTTCGCCTTGAGCGCCTCGCGCTCCCGGTGCCACGCTTTCCTGATAGCGGTCGCCTTCGCGTGATGCAGCAGTCTCTGCTTCTCCTTCTCCGCCGTAGTGCCGTAGCGTAGATTCACCACGTAGCTGGCGCCGTGTATCTTCACGTCGATTAGCGAGCTGCTGCCGCTGCCGTTCTCGTTCTCGTGGAACGTGGTGTTCACCTGACCGCCTAGCCGCTTCAGCTGACCGCGATCCTCGCTGGCCCGCCAGGTTTCCTCCTTGACGAAGTAGAAGGCGTCCTGCTGCGCGCTGTGCACGACGAATGTGAACGGCAGGAAGTAGGAGCGATTGAACACGGATGTGAACACGTCGCCGTAGATCGCGTTCGCGCTCGGCACGCTGGACACCACCGCCTGACCGTCGGCGGTTCTCGACACCAGGATGCCTTTGCCGAACGGCGGATCCGACGCCGCGCCCAAACGGCTGGGTATCAGCTCGCTGGTGTCCTTCTTCAGAGCCGATCGCGGCGGCGCCGATAAACTCACAGCGTCGCCCGAATGCCTCTGAGCGATGTGCGCGAGGAAACCGGACTGTACGCCCAGATTGCGCGTTCTCTTCTTCTTGCCGAATATGGAAGTGCCCGGACCAGGCGCCTGAGGAACGAGGCTCTCCGGAAGTTCATTCGGGAACAGCTGCGGCGCCAGACTCTTCAAATCGTATCCGAGATGCGTCAGCCATGATATGTGATCTGCAAGATTGAGTGTGTCAAATATCGAGGGCGTATCGAGTAAAATGGATTCATCGACGATCGTGACAAACTTACCAGTTGGTTGGCTTGGTCTGTCTGTATGTCTAACGTCAATCGGATCGTTTCCGTTAAATCTATAGAGATGTAAGTGCGTCGGCTTGTCTACTCGGTCTAAAACATTTTCCCACAGCGGTGACATCCACTGACCTATCAACGGATCGTAAACCTTTCCGTTTGGCATGTGGACTAAAGATGTGACCTATGAATCAAATTAAAAAAAAAATTGTAGACACTGTTTCGATTCTGAAATATTGATTCTGTGTGCGATATATTGAAAGATCTTTTTATTTCGCTGCATTTTAATTGATCAAATGTATATTTCTAAGATACGAGGATAAACTTCTCACTTACCTGATCCAAAAGTCCGCCGCAGAAGTCGACCGGCAAGTAAAGATATGGATTCGAATCGTAAACTATGTGGCCGTAAGGTGATCGCATAATTTCCCTGATGCCTTCTCCGTACTGATTGAAGATCATAATGGGAGTGCCGCACTGATCGGTGGCGATATAATATTTGTGTCGGTACACTTGTGCATAAATGAGGTGTCCCCTGTCGTCGTAGACGAGCGACATCAGTTTACCGTCGCGCGGACTGTATATCTGGCTCACTTCGTGCGGGCGCTTCTGGTTGTTGTAGAAGAACTGCGTGACGTTGCCGTAATTGTCCTTCCTGGTGGCCAGGCGGTCCAAATGATCGTAATAGTATCGCACGTCGAAGCGGCCGCGTTTGATGGCGCGCACGAGCAGCCCCTTGGCGTTGTAATTAAATCTCTCCTCTCTCGCGTTCTGCACGACAAGACCCCGGTTGTCGTACTTGTACAGACCCTCGCCGAACTTGACTATCCGATCCATGGTATTGTACTCCATCGGAATCGTGTTACCGCGGTACGTCAGCGACAGCATGTTGCCGTTGGCGTCGTATTTGAAGCCCCACGGCTCCTGCGCCTCCACGCCGGTCAACTGGCCGTCGCAATCCCACGTATAGTTCTTGACATTCGTGTACGTGTTGACGGCGACGTTGCGCGTGTACGTTCTCGTTTGATTGATGCGGCCGCGTGAATCGTGCGTGAACTCCATCCTGAACACCTCCATTCGATGGATCGTCACTGTGACTTGAGTCTCCAGGAACCGATCATCCGTGATGCGCGAGAACAGCGCGGTGCCATCGAACACGGTCGTCTCATTGATCTGCGGCCTCGTCACTTTGAACTGGCCGATCTGCTCCAGCGTGCCCGACTTCGGACTGTAAGCCATGGTGTGCGGCGGCAGCGTTTGCCCGCCTATTCTACCCTGCACCGCGACCAGTCGGAAGTTGGAATCGTACTCGAAGGTGAACTTGGCGTTGCTCAGGCCGGTCTTGGCGCCGAAATCTATGCGTTCTTCCACCAGAAGACCCGCGCTGTACTGATAATCCCACTTGTACTCCACATCTCTCTCGGAGTGTATCACCTCGGAGGGCAGGCCGCTCTCGGTGTACCTGATCTCGCTCTTACCGTCGCCGTGGACAACCTCTGCCAGCTGACCCGAGGTGTGATATCTGTAGACGATGCGCGCGCCGTCTCCCGGGAACACGGTCTGTAGCAGATTTCCATCGTGACTGTAATGCTGCAGGTAAGCTCTGGTGCTGCCGGGCGGAGTGTACGTCACCCTGAGAAAGCCGAGGGAAGCTTGACAGGAGAAGGAGTGCTTGGTTTCCGACGGCAGTATGATGTGTCGCAGCCCACCGTCGTCGTCGTATTGCAACGAGAATTGCCTGTTGCTGGCGAGCGTGATCTTCGACAGCATGTTGAAGTCGTTGTAGGTGTACCGTTTCGTGCCGTCCTTGCTGTTGGTGATTTCCGCCAGCTGACCGTGCCGATCGTAGCCGTAGGATTCGTCGGAGGCGCCCCATTTCCAGCTATCGATTCTGTTGAATCGGTCGTAGGTGATGCTAAGATTATGGCCCTGTTCGTGCGGTTGCCAAATTAAGGGCAGGCCGGCGAGATCGAAGGTCACCGTCAGCAGGGCGGTTCCTGTTTTGTCGTAGAATGTTTCGCGGCTATTAGCCTGCTCGAACTCGACGCCTATCACTCGCGTGTCGTTCACCCAGATCTCTCTATTGAGCGTTTGCTGGGAATGACTGACATCACCGACTAGATTATACGTCGTTGTCATGATGTTTGTTAGTTCTCCCAGAGACATCACTTGGTAGCTCCACATGGGCAGCATTTCCGCTTCCACTGGCAAAGATGGCTCCAACAGCGGATGTTTTGTCGTGGCCGCGCTCAACACTCGGCCGCCACCAGGCAGAAACACTTCCAGACTGCTGTTAGTAAATGAAATTGCCTTCAACAGCTTGGTGCCTGCAAATGAGAAATTATGCAAAACGTTAGATTGATAACTTTTTTTTAATACCCGTAGAATTAAAATAATTCTATCGAGATATATCACGATGGATTAAGCAAAAATTAATTAGCGAATAATTTGAAAGAATACATACCGTCAGTGATCGTCAACATCTTGGACTTCTCGTTCTTCATCTCAAATTCCACAGATCGTTGCTTGTCGCCTTTTGATAAAGCTTGCAACGGAGCGGATACCTTGACCAATAGACTTTCATCGTCGGACAAGTCCGATAATAATTTCAGCTTCTCGCCTGTCGGCAGTATTACATCGGTCACACGTCCCAGACTGTCATAATTATATATGTACGTTTCGTCGCCCTGAAATTCGCGAAAAGTTGCATTATCGTATCATTTTATGTAAATAATATTTAAAGACAGAATCTGAAATATGTCTTGTTTCATCAACAACAAATAATTTTGTTCGCTTAAAAAGACCTATAAATTTTTTTCGCTTTAATAAAGCTAAGTAATAGAAATTTCCGACTTACTCCTGATCTGCTGGTAAGCAAACCGGTAGAGCCGTCGTAGCCCAGAGCAATTTCCGCCCTGCCGCGTTCGGACAATTTCTCCAAAAATCCAACCGCGGAGATCTTCAACTCGGACTTGTGATCTTGTGTATTCTCGATGGAGCTAACGACACTGCTGTAATCTCGCAGGAATTGTATCTTATTGCCCGCGCTGTCCGTCACCGTGGAAAGCTTGCCGAAGCTCGTATTCTTGCTGTACAGGAAAGAATAGCGAGTCTTCCCAGATGTCAGATCCTTCGTGGAGATGTGTTGGCCGTAACGATTGAACACATAGATCTCGTTTGAGGGTGGGAATGGAATGTGGAACTCTCCACTTTCGTCGTGGTTCGGTAGATACGGTTGGAGAGCTAGGATGTGAAGGCTGCCCTGGTCGGCCACGTGTAAGACACCGTCCGGCGAAATCGCCAGGGCGGATATCGCGATAAATTTGGCATTCGACGATAGGAGCGTCTCGGTGCTGCTAGTGTCGTCCGTGCAGGCGCACGCGTCCATGTCCTTAGTACTGGGTGTAGTATTGTTGCATTCACACTGGCCGCGTAGTCTCTCCTGCTGCTGGCCGGCAAAGTGCGACATTTTTCCGGACGAGTCGACGACCCTGATGGAGTTCACTCGGTGAGAATCGCGATCCGCTATGTACAGCTCGCCCGTCGGACTGAAACCGACGGCCAGCACCGATCCGAGCACCTCGTCCGGTTTCTTCAGATTCGTCGTTATCGACGAGTTTAATTTCGGCAGCTCTCCATTACCGTTGTTGTTGTTGTTGTTCGCATTGCTGGTGCAGTGGAGAGGCGTTCCAGCAACCACGCGCACCTTCAAATCGCTGGTGAGTTTCAGAACTAGCCTGTCGTCGATAAAGTGCAGAGATCCGTCCAATGGGCTCAGGGTTAATCCGGTCGGCCACTGTAATTGAGCCTGGTGCGCGGGGATGGCTCCGGTGCAGGGCGCGGGCGACCAATGATTATGATGGCCGTGATGACCTACAAGCGTGTGTATAATACCTCGAGGATCAACCGCACGTATGTTGGTTCCGTCGGCGATGTACATAGTTTTGTCAGCCGCAATTGCAATGCCTGTAAACCACAATATGGAACACATTTTTGAAATTATTTTGCGAGCAATTTTTAAATCCGTTCGATTTTTCAGCGCGTACGCTCGCAATTTTAAAACGTTACCGAATTACTGCAAATTATTCGAACGGCGCGAATGCCTTTCGCAAGGTTGATGGATATTTCAATTCATCCCTTACCTTTAGGATGAGCCAATTTCGCATGAATCGCCGGACCTTCGTCGCCGCAATGTCCTTCGTCGCCTGGGATACATCTCTCGCCACTACCGACGACGGGCTCGATATTGATGCTGGGATCTTGGACCTGTTCCAACGAGAGGGCCTTCAATATTTGATGCTTCTCCGGATCGCTGATGTATAGGTGTCCGTCAGCCGGCGAGATGCACAGATAGTACTGATATGCTACTTGAGTCGCGCTGCAAAAGAAAAAAGAAAATCGATACATTCATTTAAATTGCATATCCAATTAGCACGTTGACTGCCGAGTGACATTTATCGCTCGTACAAGTGTTTGCTAAAATATAATTAGCCGCGGCAGTCAATGTGTGTTAATAAATTTCTCATTTGTATTGCAAATACTGCAATTAATACAAGCGCTCTCTCTTTCTTTGTAAAATTCAACTACCTTAGAATCAGAACGGTGTAAACTTTTCCTTCGGGTGTGATTCTGCGCACGAGATTGAAATCTCCGACGTATATGCTGCCGTCGGGTCCGCTTGTAAGTGCCACCGGCGTGAGGAGTCTCGCGTCTTTCGCGAGACCGTCGCAGTTCTGGCACACGAGGCTCCTCTGGAGGCCGGTGCCCATCACCACTTTCACAGTGCGCGGATACTGTTTGAAATGGAGAGTAGTGCCGTCGCCTTTCTGCAGAATTCCCTCGTGGAAGTTGTAATGGTGATGGATGTCGAGTCCCCAGCCGCCGATATCGGAGATATCGACGTCGAAGCCTTGCAAAGTGGCCGTCTGCGTCTCCCATATCACCGACAGGCAAGTGGAGTGTTGATAGCCGATGGAGATTCTCGCCTGTGCCACACCGTACACCTTCTGCTTGTAAACGTTCCTCTTGTTCCAGGCGAACGTGTGTGTTAGATTCGGATCGGCCTCGTACGTTTTCGTGTGCAGCGAGCCCTCGATCTCGACGTGTACGTGTACGTGCGTCAGCGATTTCGGAATGAACGGTCCAGTCAGTTGCATTCTCACGGTAGAGAGGTAGCCCGCAGCCTGGCTGCTTTGATACATCAAGTGGAGATTCGAACCCGGTATAGCAATGCTTTCCTGCACGATCTGCAAGCGATGTTTAACGTCCCGTTAAACCGGTCACACAGAGCAATGATTTCCGTCGTAAATATTGTTACATTTGTGCAGTGCTCTTTGACACATTTCTCTAGTTTTTTTTTATGTAACATGTCACTGAATAACAGGTTTTTGTTGTAGAACTTTTTTTTTTAACGTTAAACTCTTCCTGGATTTTATATTCAAATGATAACAAAGCTAGTTATTGTTTATAAAGTAATTATTTTATTGTGCACACAAGTTATCATTTTATTTCATTGCTATAATTTTTTTTTTGCTGGAAAAATCAATACGGTTCCGTTTTTGGAATCGTTGGCACGATTTGTAATCGCATTAAGTTCGGAAATTTACCTGAGTTTCAGCGAACACCATGCTCTTTCCGGGCAAACCGCCGACTTTCTCCGGCATCCACGTGCTAACAATAATGGGCCGTAGCGTCTCGTGATCGTGCTCTAAGCACGGGCCGTGCTCGCTAAAGAGTCCCATCGAAATCCCTGGGAAGCCTATTATATTGTACTCCATAAATAATAAGAAACTCAAAAATGCATAACACTCAAGGACGGAACAAAGACGGCACACACGTTGAACAGCTGTGGACACCGAGCGCTTTGTGAAGATAATACGCGGATAATAGACGCGCGAGTGCGATCCGACGTGGCCGACGAAGAGCGATAATAAATTACATAAACCCTCTTTAACAGAAACTTTCATAAAAAAAAAATGTCCGCTTCTTTTGTTATCCTTCCTTTTCCCCGGGCACGTAGGGGTTGGTCGGTTTCAGGTGATCGAGCACGTACGCGCGTTTATCGAAACGTTTGTGGCGTTAATGGGTAACGCGATACGACACGTAACACGATGAGAGAGAGATATATATATACGTACCGAACCGGCCGATGAAAAAAAAAAAATTGTAATATATATCCGAGGCTTTCGGTGCTTACCCACTGCCGGGCTCGGCGGCTGGTTAGATTTATACGATTCGCCTTCTTTGCTGAGGATCATCACTACGGGCGGCAGGACCACGATCTGATTCCAGGGTACGAAGACGGTCCGCGTGAGTGGTTTGAAGGGGCTGCGCTGGAATTGAAGCGTCACGGCGCCTCCGCCATTGACCAGCACGTCGAACCTGATCAAAGTACGTAAATGCATTTCGAACTCCATTGCCGCCGTATTACGTACGGATCCGACGTAGGTCGATCAAGATAGTGCGCTTCAAGATGCGCCTCGAGATTCCCCGCTCTCTATCCCGAGAACGAATGTTCGACGAGGCCTTAGAGTTGGAATACGTGAGCGTTGAAAAAGCTTTCTTATCTCGCGTGTAGCTTTCTAAAACATTAGCTACTGGTGTAATTTTAAAATACGGAGCGTTTCCTTTTGTATAAAAAAAAAAAACTTTATCTTTGTCGCAGCTAGGATAAGGAAAAAACTTTGAAAGCTCTTAAAGTCTTGACGACGTATAATTTTAAAAACTTCCTTCAGGAATTATTATGATTATGCGTCCTATTTATTGACGTGAACAATGGAAGTAGATTTTTATTTGTGCGTACTTTGCAATTCCCTCCTTTCAGCTCGTTCGTTATTTAAGTTTCATCCAGGTTCAAAAGTGCGCTATAGGATTTAATGAAGTAATATCCCTCCTCATACAAAATTACTGGCTTCTCTGAAAGTTGGAGCGGCGAAACAAAAATACGTTTTTAACGGGATTTATACAGCGCTATTATACTTATTGTGCTATTAATGTAGCTAAATAAATGTGTCCTCATTGAATTATTTATAAAACGATTTTCATCCATTTATATTGCATAATTTTTCCGAGTTCAACAAAAAAATCCTATAGAATTAATTATCTCTTTTGTACTAAAATAGTGTCCATAAACGCTTGAATTTGTTAAATACTCCACCGTATTTATTAAAATATAATTAAAGTGTAATAAGTATAATTAAAAAATTATTACGTAAAAAGCGCGGCGATAATAAGAAATCAATTTCTTTTTCTTTTTTATATTAATATGCAGTCAAATCATTATCACGTGGAAAAAATTCGTCCAAGTTGTAATGCGCCGTAACGATATTATAATTGAAGGTGCGTCAATGAATAGAATAATACGTACGCGCTTGTTATTTCGCATTTATGAACATTAATTACGAGTAGGCGCAGTGTTCCAGTCGTTGGATTAATATGAATTAAATCGGGAGAGAATGCCCGAAACAAAGTTTCCCTCGTAACGAGTAGATCCGGTCGATATGCGAACACATTTCGACGTCCCGCGATGCACCGAGGGCCACTCGGACTAAGCGTGGTACATACGTAGGTTTGCGCGGAGTAATTAGTAAGCTTTCGACATCATTAGCTCGGGCTTTGATGTGGTCTAGTATCCCAACTCCTCCGCTTTCCTGTTTCAGAATTATTCTCGCCAGGATTACTGTGTACCCTCGTCTGATATAGTCGTTCCCGCACCACCTACCCTCCCCCTTTCATTACAATGCAGCCTTGATACTATCGCACACGACGTCCAGCTCTACCCGTACATGTCGTGCCCATCATGTGCAAATGTTAATACCACGACGACGACAACGACGACGCGTGTGTTCGTCGTTCTAGCTGTAAACGCGGATGTAACAACCACAACATAACTCTTTCCACGAAGCTGTTTCTATCGCCCGGGAATACATTATCCTCGATAGCGCGACCTACTTATTTCACGCACGACGCTCAAGAATAATTAGCAATTAGCAAATACGAATTTGAGATACGCTCTTAAACGTTCTCAGAGCGCCGATGGTAATGCATGTATAATAATAATCGGGATTACGCCCGTGGTATCCGTCATTTACGTTATGGATGTCCGTCATAATCGTGCACAAATCCCTCTTTCAAAATAATATTATGCCGCAGTAATAACTACATCGGCTTAAAATGTGAACTGCATAATTGCCTGTACATGCGTAATGGTGAATTATTAATACGAATTACTATCCATTACCGTGCCTCTATTAAGGACAAACCAGAATGCACGCTTAAAATCATTTATGTCATTTGTATATGCAAAATTATTCCAACTCGGGCGATTTCGTCTGACATTTCAGAAATCTTGACATTAAGAACACGCACTACGATAATCGACCTGTGGTTCCTCCTTTCAAATGGCAGCGTCTTCAATGTCCTCAAGCAATTGTCGCTATGCGATCTTCGATTTGCCAGAAAATTTGATAATTTTAATGCAACGGCAATCGGTGTGACTCGCCATTTGAAGCTGGGTAGTCGAATAAGGTACGAGTTGAATTATTGATCCTTACCATCCGTCAGCTCTGGTCAAGGTGAATCCGAAGCGCGCATCCCTGTCCACGGACACTCTGATGCCTACTATTCCGAGTCCTTGTTCGGTAACAACTTGGCCTCGCATCACCGCAACTCGACTGTTACAAATTATAGATATATCGGGGTCCACCGAAGCGGGATCGTTTCGTCGACCCATTAATCCGCGCAATGCTGATTTAAAACGAAACATCCTCACAATTTACATCTGTCTGAACGCGATTGGAATGCAATTTCGATCGGCGCGCGCGTACCGGTGAAGAAAAATCGTGGATTTTGAAAGCATTCTCTTGGAATATTGTTCATATTTTAAGTAGGATTCCGAAATTATCTGTCGCTTTAAGCACAGATATGTCATTGTAAATTTTTACCTGTTTCTTTTTTTTTTATCTTGCAAACCGATATTCGTACAATTTTAGCTTTATAGCTATTTAATTGCGGCTTCATTATTTCCGCAACTATTGATACTCGAAACGCTATGCGTTTCGAATTAACTCGAAATCTAATTTTCAGCGTGATCTCGCCGTGAATAACAGGGTATCGTTAATGCCCACTTAGTGCTCGCCTAATTAACAGATAACGCGATCATACTTCTCGGTCGATGCGCGACCGGTATCTTTACGCGAGCGCGGACACGAGCAATCGATTTCGCCTGTTAAATCAGCTTCCGCGGTCAACGGTTCAATGCGATCCAATATTCTCACTTCGCTGCCAATACAATCCGCAACTCCATTCGGCCGACATTCGACGGCCGCATTGCCACGTACAAGGGAAGCTAATGCCTCTGGCTGAATCGAGGAGCGATACAAATTGATTTTACAAATAGAACAATGCCGCGTAGGCAAGGGGTGGCGGAACAGGAACGGAAGAGGGGCACGGGCTGCGGGGGTGGGCTGCAGGGGGTTTTAGCGGAACACGCGCAGTGCGTCGACGATGCATTGTGCTCGCGAGAATCAGCATTCGCGATGGCAGCGAGGCGGGAACATTCTTCTCGGCACTGATTTTCAGGATTTTTTGAGAGACTAGAAAAAAAGGAAAAAAAGAGAGAGAGAGAGAGAGAGAGATACGAAGAAAAGACATAATACTTCGTCCCGAGACGGATGGAGGACTGGAGCGGACAGGGTGGGGCGGGAGGGATCTGTAGGAAAGTTACCTCGTGAGAGTAAAAGGCATGCAGTCATGTTATATAGATACGTAGTAGGCGTGAGAGATATGTAATATGTAATATGATAATATAGAAACGTATTATATATGTGAACTTTGTGAAAAGAGGGGCCGGGAAAGGA